GTCGCTATCGATGCTCAGGCGTTGGCTGAAGCGCACGCTAAGGGGGTAAACCTTTAGCAAGCGCAGGACCGGCCTGAGGGCCTTACCATCTTCTGCACCCTGAGGTACCCCAAAGGGTGCGGGGTAAGATGGTCCATAGGGCAGGAAGGAATTCGGAGCGGTGGTGAGTTGTCTGGCGCATCACCAGCGATACGCTAATCCTTCTGCGGGGAACCTTTGCCGTTCCACCAAAATAACCTTAACAAGGATGAAAAACAAATGCTTTTAACATTATCGGAAGAAAATACCTTTAATGTTAGTCTGGGGCCTGGGACGTTCTGGATAAGGATCTTGGTTTCAAGGCTTGGGACAACTGCCCTACACACGAAGTCAAAGAGAATAGAAGGAAGCAATGTGCGGTCGCATAGCCCCATAAGGGTTACCCGAGCGTACGCTTACTCTGATTATTACATCATCGGGCTGGAAAAGAACAATCTCACCGAAACAACAGGTTGTGGGGTAGTACACTCTCACGACAGTTGTGTGGTTTGCCCATCTGAATTCAAAACATAATCACTCAATCATGAGACTCTTCCATACATACATGCAATCATATACACAACATTCAAAGAACATCACACGCGCTAAAGGGGTCAACTTTTCAGCCTCCTACAACTCACACCCTGCCTTATGCACTCAAGCCCAACCATTTCCCCATCAATCCTTAACAAAGGTACTCAGTCTTTCAGAAATTGCCATTTATAAAGAAGCTGGGTGAAAACCCAAAGAAACACACAAATCCTGGCAAGGGTTAAGGCCTTAGGTTGAGAGGCAGGAGAAATAGGAAAGTTGAGTCGTAAACCGACGAATCGGCAACCGACCTGTTATCAGTGATAACAGATAAGTGATCCCTTCGTAGATCATTCAATCGGATGCGAAAACCTGCATCACAGTATAGGTCAAAGAGAACCACTACTATGTTCAACCCAAGTAGAGGATAGTTCCCCAATTTGTACCCTAGTTCCTCTATCAGTCTCACGTTCAACTTCCCTCACTAACGCCAAGTCACTGAGAAAATTTGGCAGCATCTCCCCTATCCAGGGTGGATCTGTCAAGTCTCTCTTAGCTAATAATAATCTAACTCCCTAAATTCTGTGAAATTTCGGCAGGGCTTCCCGTAGGAAAAGTGCCTTTCCAAAATTTCTACGAGTCCAAAAAATGACTAACTTTTTCAGATTTGTAGAAATTTCGGCAGCGCTTCCCGTAGGAACAGGAGGTTGCCAAGATTTATACAAAGCTGAAACTGAAAAGACAAGGCATAACTATACTTGGGACTAACTTCTGACACTTACTTGGAAGGTAGGATCGGCGATAATCTGTACGACCTCTTGATGAGGCTGTGCGATGACACTGATCCTAACTCCTGGTAGAGTCAGTCCTATCTTATCCCAAGCTTTCCTTCCCATCATTTATCCTACCTGCCTATAGCTCTAGCACTCTGCGAGCACCTAAAGCAACTAAACTATCAAAGAGGTGCCCCAGAGTGAGAGCCCATAAGCATGCATAACCAAACATCTCTCACAATCCCACATTAATTTAGTGCAAGTAGTTCGTTAAATCGCTTAGTTCTTTCCCTTTTACATCCCCCTTTCCTATGGCATACGGTCAGACAAGGCCCTAACCCTAGGGTATGCCTGACCTGCCTAGGTACACAAGTAAAGTACGCACATTTGGACTGCCCTAACCCTAGGGTATGCCCAACGTAGTTGCGCCGATTGTCTGAAGTGGCACAGGTTTCCAAGGAACCCGACACACCAATCCGTGATCCGGGAAAAAAAAGGGAGGGGGAGGCGACCAATAGAAAGGTAAGATGACCTTCGCAGGGAGCCGTGCTAGTCTTCTCTGTATCGTTCCAACTTTAACGGATGTCCCGAAGGACTGCGGCCACGGATTCGGGATATCACCCCCGAATTGACCGGGCCCAGACGAATCAGAAATATTCGGTTTTACTCATCAAGTTCCATCATCTGGATTCGAACATAGGTTTGTATTGCAACGGTTCAATATACCCACTAGGCTAGGCTCTTGGGTCCTACTGCCGGTCCACGAACCGGTACCGGACCTTGTCCCGAAATGGGACCAAAATAACTAATAAAAATAAAAAAGAGAATAATAATTAATAAAAAAAAAAAAAAACCTTATAAAACAGGTAGGGGGACGGGAACCGCTGGGACTCGGTTCCTTGGTCCTGCCCGTCGGACCCGCAGTCGGAACCCCGCGCAAAACCGAGGGGGATAGTCCCCCAGGACCCTCAACCTCTCAAATTTTCGCCAAAGTACGCTCCTCGCTCCCCTGCTACCGTTCGCTAGCCTCGATCCCAGGATCTGCAAGGCGAAAGTCTAGTGTTGTAACCAATAGGGCTAAGCCCAAGCCTGGTTGTAGTAGGCGCAGTTCTACATATGAAGAGTAACTGCGGCCGACTCGGGCGTGTAGCAGGTGCACCAAGGCCGTTGCTTGGCTTACTACTCGAGCCCAAGCCCTGCAATGTCACGCTTTCGCTGCTTGGGGCCGGCTCTTTGCTCGATACATCGCACACGTAGCCCGCGACGCCGCGGCCAACAGGTAAGCTCCCTCATACTATCTTCTTCCTTGGAAAGGCCGCTCTTTTACCATCTCCAAGCCAAAAAAAAAAAAAACCGGCCTTTACTCATGTCCTCTCTGCTAAATCTCATTGGCAATTTCGACGCCGTCAACTTTTGTGCCCTGCACACCCCACGCGGTGCGGCCTGCCGACTTTTCAGTAAGTCAATGAGAATCCCCCTCTAGCCGTAGCTTCAACGATTAACTTTAGCGCTGGCCGCGACTCCGTCAGCGCGCCCGAGGTTGCGACCTACGCAAACTTTATCCAAATTCTGACTTTTTCCCGGCCTACACTGCCGACCGGTTCGTTCGTTCACACTAGTCAAGCATCTAACTAACGCGCGCCCACAAAGTGCACGCCCACACACACACCCTCTGACTCATCCAAGCGTGGCCCTGCCACTTCCTGACTTCCAAGAGTCAGTCGTGGTCGAGCCTAATGCACGTCACTCTCTCAAATATCATCAAGGGTGCCCCTCCTGCGAGGTGCAATAAACACGCACAATTACCCTTGTAAGGGTAATGGTGCCAACAGCGTTCTTGGGCAATCAGTGGCCCACTTACAATACCGAGTGTGCTAATCCGGATTCTAATGCGGATTCTCCAATGTGGACTTCGTGCTAAGTTGTATGTCTGGTTTTGGGCATGGAAATCAATTGGCATATTTGTTCCTCACTCTTTTTTCTTTCTTTCCAAATGGCCTTGATATATTTTTTTGGGGGGGGGGGGGGGGGGGGGGGGGGGGGGGGGGGGGGGGGGGG